CACGCGTTTACCAAATCATCCAAATCTTTACATCAGTCTCTCTCTCTCTGCCTCTTTTAATCGTAAAAAAAAGATTCTTCCAACTTATACGCAACGCGATCGCTACTAATTTCGCTATGTGTTTCTTTCGAATTTTCACGGTTTGTCGATTAATTGAAATGAATAGCGAATACCGTTCGGGTATGTATATGTGTAAGACACGAACGAAGGAGGTACTGTCGTATGCCAACATAATCTTTGTATTTCCTCTAGTTAAGATAACTCTGCCTTCTTCTCATCCTCCGTCAAACTACAGCAGCAAACAATTCAAATTCCTTCCTTCGATAACTGATGATTTCATCCTCACTACTCATCCCGAACCTCGACCTCGCTACCTCTCCTCTGCCGACCACTAAATTTAAGATAATTCCTATGGTTCCTTTTTCTATCTTTTCCGAACCTATAAAGTCCACTAAGAACCTACAAGTCCCACTACTTTTCCCTTTGAACAAGAGAATTCTCCAAACCGTCTCGACACGAGGATCTATAGCCAGTACACTGTCCGAAATTTCCATAAAGCCACCAATATTTTTTGACGAATTTTTTAAAAACATTATTAACTTTACTACTTTTTTCTCATCTACAATTATATGTAATTGATACTAACCATAAATCTACGAGTATCTGCTCGGAAATGTTTACCTTTCGGGTGCGTTTACATTTTTTACTGTACGAAGTGAAATATAAGTGCGAAATATCTATAAGGCCACTTACAAGGGAACATATCCATCTGTCCGTCTCCGATTTTGATAAAACTTGGTGGGTACATTAACCAGGTGAAAATAAGGGATACGTATTTTTTATAGCTGCCCAATCACAAGTTTAGGGATTGAAATCACCTCTTGAAGTTTCAGCATACTGCAATGCATAGAAATATAATTAACATTATTATTGTTAATTTTAAATCGTGGAATTTTTAATAGATATTTATCTCATACTAATGTATAGACCCGTATGTCTATACATTATGCACTTCACGGCCGCTCGGTGGATTCGCGCGGCCTGCGTACAATATTATAAGAAAATTTACAAAACTGTAGGAGGCAAATGTATCGTATTATATATCAATGAATTCGGAAAGAAATTTCCGTTCAGTTTTGTCGTTATATAAATTTTTGTATCTCTTAAAATAATGTAACCAAAATTTTTTTTGTTATGAACAGATTACATTTTACAAAATCTGTGACCACTTTTTGTTTTACCTCATGAAACCATGAAACTTTTCCCTAAGAAGATTTCTTATATCTATTGTAGTTTTCGAGATAGCATTTTTCTGCTGAAACTTCAAGGGGTAATTTCAACCCCTAAACTTGCGATTGGGCAGCTATAAAAGAATACGTATCCCTTATTTTCATCTGGTTAATGTACCCATCAAGTTTCATCAAAATCGGAGACGGACAGTTGGATATGTTTCTTTGTTAGTTTGTGCTTAGATTCTGAGTAAATAAGCCCAGGTATGCACAATAAAGGGAGTGAAACACCAATAAAAAAGTAAGTAATATTTTATATTTTAATTTCTTACTAGTAAAATGCTTAGGACAATTGTTAACCAGTGAAGAAAAAATTATCCATTGATGCTTATAGGGATATGGGATGTTCTAATCGCATAATTGTAAATAATTACGTGAATTTAGGAAAAAATTATAGCAAAACCATCCCAAAGGGAGAAATCAAAAACTGACTAAGAGACAGCATTCATTATTAATAAGATCTACATCAAGAGAATTGAAAAGTGCAGCACAACTTCGCGTTGAATTAAATTTGCCAGTAACTACAAGACGCATACAACAAATTTTAAAAAATTCCAAACGATTCCATTGGACAAAAATGGTGCAGAACACAGCACTCAAAACCGAACACAAACAGGCTCGTCTTAATATTGCAAAAACACACGTGTTCTGGTTCAAAGAATGGGAATTTGTTATTTTTTCTGATGAAAAGAAATTCAATTTAAACGGGCCGGATGGTTTTAAATATTGCTGGCCTGATTTAAGGAAAGAAAAAGACATAACAACGAGTCGCAACTTTGGTGGTGGTACATTAATGATCTGGGCTACATTTAAAGCTGACGCCAAGACACCAATCTGTTGCATTACTTCTAAAATGAAATCTGAAAAATATACAGAATTATTAGACACAATTTTAATACCATTTATTAAAGATACGCAATATGCGATGGACACAATAACTTCATTTATCAACACGATAACGCTGCCATTCATACATCAAATTACACGAAGCAGTGGTTAGCTGAAAAAAATATCACGATTTTGACATGGCCAGCTTGTTTCCCAGATTTAAACCCAATAGAAAATCTTTGGGGGATACTCGCGAGGAAAGTTTATGGCAATTGTAAGCAATACAGTACTGTTAATGAATTATGGAATTATGAACGAACCATGGGCAATTATTCAAGAAGGCGCACTTCAGAGTTTGATTTCGTCAATGTTCCATCGTATTTTCGAAGTTATTCGAAGAAATGGCAGTTCTACTAATTATTAATGAAGAAATAAAAAAGATCTTACTGTTAATTTTGAACCTACTTATTTAAAAAATATATGGCTTTATAGAAATTTCGCAGTATATTTTGTATAAAATTATATATTTACGTTTATTTCTTCAAATAAATATTATTTCTATTATTTCAATCTACATATATGTGTTTTTAATACGCCTAAAATGAAATCATACTCAACTTTATCATAAATACAGAATAATTATAAGATATTACCAAAAAACGTGATGGCTTTATGGAAATTTCGGGCACTGTACCACGCGAATACCTTTGTTAACTTTGTTTAATTTCGCTCGACGTGGTACTTGTTAAATAATAATAAAGTAACGAATCCAACGGAATACAACAGTACGTAATCGGGAAAATGTGTGGAAAAGCCGGGGATTCCCCGTTTCTCGCGTATACCAATGCGATATCGCAACGGGTTGTCGGAATTAATTACGAATCGTCGAGGGCAAACCGAAGAATCGAGAAAGGAGCGAAAAGGTGACCGTACCGTGGACGTTTCAATGCAATCAAGCACGGGACATTCCAAGATGACTTTAATGGGCCAATAAAGTGACGCGTCCGAGGAAGAATTCGCATACATCGGTCTTGGGTAGGTAGGGTTGGCGCGGTGTCGCCTCGCATCGCATCGCGTCCTGTCCCGTCGAAGAAAAGAAGGTCGACCGAGCGAGAAAAGGAGCAATTTTCCAGGTTGATGGCCTAGAAAATTGTTGCAACGTGTTCCAGTTGACGTTGCGAAAACTTTTTTTATTTTTCCTCTTGTCGCCTTTTAATTTATTCCGTCCGTTTCTTTTTGTTTTCCTTCACAGTTTACTACAAATTAGAACTCTTCCTATTTACGGAGAAACTCGCAAGTTTAACTCGATTCACGGGATTTCTGTCGAGAAATCTTTCGATACGATTCGATACGAGTTCCAAAGGTACGCGGTCAAACGTAAAGCTACCTATACGTACTTTGATACTCTGTGACAAATCTCTCTCGTAAAGTCAAGCCTGATTCAGGTGTCCTTCTTTGCTGGATACCTGGACACGATGACAATTGGCCAGTGTCGCGTCGCGTCCCATATCATGTCGTAAAATATTTTACGAATCGACAGCGATTCCGCGTTCAAGTATAAATAAAGCTTTCTCAGCGAGTCTTTGCTTGAGGGGGGAAATAGATTTAAAACTACATTTTTTTAGTGATTTGCATGCATTTTTTTTAGCGAAAAAGGAATGAATACAATTTAATGCAACTTTGAGAACATTTTATACATATATTCAAGTAAATATCGTAATTTCTTGGAAGTATTTCCTCGGAAAGTATGGAAGGTACGCCACCCTTCGGAGGTCACCATTAAACGTTGTTGTTTTACGTACATTCTGGAGGCCACAGTTTTCATCCGAAACCAATAGGGATTTAAATTTACTTTGAAGGCATGTCTTTCTTCTATAAGAATCTACATTCAGAGTAATATCGTTGTGTAAAGTATCTTTTCATTGCAAAAAACGTTACACAAAAATGGCAAACAATTATGCTCTTTCGTTTGAACACCTCTAAAAATGGAATATTTAATTTTTTAGGAGGAATTTAGGTTCATGTAGAAGAAAGACATGTCTTTAAAGTAAATTTAAATCCCAATTAATTTCAGATGAAAAACGTGATCTCTAGAATGTTTTCATCTGAAACAAATAGGGATTTAAATTTACTTTGAAGGCATGTCTTTCTTCTTAAGAATCTACATTCAGAGTAATACCATTGTTTAAAGTATCTTTTCATTGCAAAAAACGTTACACAAAAATGACAAACAATTATGCTCTTTCGTTTGAACATCTCTAAAAAAATTTAATTTTTTAGGAGGAATTTAGGTTCATGTAGAAGAAAGACATGTCTTTAAAGTAAATTTAAATCCCCATTGATTTCAGATGAAAAACGTGATCTCTAGAATGTACGTAAAACAACAACGTTTGATGGTAACCTCCAAAGGGTGACTTCTGATACATTCCATATTTTCCGAGGAAATACCTCCAAGAAATTAGAATATTTACTTGAATATATGTACAAAATGTTCTCAAAGTTTCATTAAATTATATACAGTCCTTTCTAGCTAAAAAAAATTCATGCAAATCACTAAAAAAGTATAGTTCTAAATCTATGTACCCCCTTAAAGAACAGTTAACGAGCTTTTATCTCGGAGACATGCGTGCAGTACGTACGCAACATTGGCATCGATCAGTGGTAAATTCCAATGACGTTGAACGTGTACGTCAAATCGTGACTGGCCAGTCGGTCGGATGTTCGACTCGTTCGATAAACGACAACGATATTCTAGAGGAAAAATCGGTAGCCAATTATATTTACTCGTCGATAGGTAATTCGCGTGAAATTCCATAATCGCGCGAGGAGTTTGTCTCTCCTCGTGTAACCATTCCGATGATCGCGTTGCGGGCTTCGATTCCTTCGAGCGAGGACCTTTTGTCGCTAACGCGCGCAATTTCTATGCAAATGCGGATCGACTGGGACGCGCAAAATTCTGGACGCGGTACTTACCAGAGAAAAAGTGGTTTCGAGGAAGATACGGTTGGTCGAACATGGCGCGATTGTTCGGAATAAATGTTTGGTGAAAAATGCGTCTCGTGATCGTGGATCGAATGAATTTTATTGAACCTCTCGGACGGCTTCGCTCGCCTTGTTTCGTTTGCTGGCGCAGCTGGAACGTTCAAGCTGGAAACTGTAGAAGGATGACCAGGTATGTCGACAGCACTCCGACGATCTGAAAGCAAAAATCCGAATCCCGCTACCTCTGACCCATAGTATTTCTATTTATACCATACACGGATTCGTTCAGGTTCTATACGACTTAAATATGTTCGTTTCGAGGTGAACTGTTGCACGGTTCAGATTAGATCTAACGTTAGATCTAACGTTCGTAACCTTGAGATTTCTGGTCACTGTGCGCCATTCGAAACGAGCTATTAGATAGTCGGGTCGGTTCGGACGTAAGCTACGCAAGTAAGAGTTTAGCTAGGGAGTCAGAGAGAGTGTTAAATGGGACGTCGAGGGATTTCGTTTGAAATGTAAAGCTCGTTATTGCGTTTCAACTCCGGTATCGCGGGTCTATCAAAGGAACTCGTTTTGTTGGTGAACCCAAAACGAGGAATCGAACGAAAATGAAACGACTGCGACGCGACGGGGACGATTTTTCTCCGGATTAGTTGGCTAATTAAACTCTGTTTCTCCGCGAAGAAGATACGAAATGCGTTTACCGAACACAGGAGTGGCAAATTGATGTCGAAAAGTCCACCGGCGTTGAAACGGAGACGTCTGTTCAAAAAATGCAGCGAGGTGCGAACGCTGTCCTGTAACAAACGACAACATTGGGATACGTTAGTCGAAGAAAGGATAGATAAATACAAGTTTTAAATAATTTGATCGGAAACTCGTGGTTCTCACGTCGTGAGGAAATCTCTTGATCACTCTAGCGTCCCACTCGAGTACAATGGCGCCCATGGAGTTAGCCTGGAATACGATAGGACGATGATTACTTGTCGATAGCCTCGAGCAGCAAAAATGTTACAGTACTGTCCCGAAATAAGCCACTCGGTCGGAACGGTGAGTTGCTTGTTTCGAGGTAGGTATGCTATTCGGTTTGACTTTGTTCCCGAGTTCCGAGTTCCCGAGCATGACGAGGGGGAACTCGTAGATAAAACAGGGGGTTCGGTATAGCGGCAAACTATAAAGTGATCGCTCGAGAACAGGTGTTATTCTTTGGAAAAGTATAGAACGTGACATGATTTCTCATTTTAGCACTCGTAAAACCGAATTCTTTTCGGACCTCTCACTCGGCGGGCGACTTCAAACAAAAAGGTGGGGACAGCGAGTTGCTTATTTCGAGGCGGAAAACAGTTGCTTATTTTGAGACAATACTGTACATGTACTGTGCGTTCACACAACAAGTTGGAGAGGCAAACTCGTTTTCGTTCTCACTCTGTCTCTCTCTCTCTCTCTCTCCTGCTACCATGCGCTATGTCGTTATTAGAGATGGCGTGAAAAATCACTAACAATGATCTTTCACGGTGATCACACAATCAGGATCGCAGTCGTGATTAAACTTCAATCACGACCGTGATATGGAAGATGGCATTTAAGAAGCGGTTCATGTTAATTGTTATCGTTAGTTATTCGAGGAACTACAAATAGGTCAAATTAAAATTTTATTAAAATTATGTTAACATTGCTTTTAGACCATATTATTAGGTACCGGAAAAAGTTCGTGCGGTTTATTCGTTAATTGTAACCAGGGTTTTAATAATAATCAATTACAATTTTTTAATTAAATAATTGATTTAAACAAATTTAATTCAATCAACTTAATTAATAAATAGTTTGACTAAATGTAATTAAAAATTATTTAATTAAAGTTGAATTAAGCAGACTTAATCAAAAGTCGTTTAATTGACGATTGATATGAGCGAATTTAATCGAAGATATTTAATTGACGATTGATATGAGCAAATTTAATCGACGATATTTAATGGACGATTTGTTTATATCTTCAATGTTAAAAGAGATTTATATAAAATTCAATTAATTATATAAGTATATAAGTATATAAGTATATAAGTATATAAGTATATAAGTATATAAGTATATAAGTATATAAGTATATAAGTATATAAGTATATAAGTATATAAGTATATAAGTATATAAGTATATAAGTATAAGTATAAGTATAAGTTTATATCTTCAATGTTAAAAGAGGTTTATATAAAATTCAATTAATTATATAAGTAACACATATAAATAAACATATATATAAACCAATTTGTAGCGACAAATGCAATATACTAAATACTATTAACCTCATCAAAATGAGTTGCTTGTATATATAATAATGTATTTGTTAAGGTAATTCTATGAATAAATAATTTATAATGTAAATATATAAAGGGCATAACCCTTTCTGTACGAGCGCCGGATATATCTGGCATCCATCTAATAACCTTATACATGTATGTGTTACTTATACAATTAATTAAATTTTATATAAATGTCTTTTAACATTGAAGATGTAAACAAATCGTCAATTAAATAGCTTGAATTAATTCTGCTTAAAGTAATCGTGAATTAAATGGCTTTGAATTAATTCTGCTTAAATCAATCGTCAATTAAATGGCTTTGAATTAATTCTGCTTAAAGTAATCGTCAATTAAATATCTTCGATTAAATTTGCTCGTATCAATCGTCAATTAAACGACTTTCGATTAATCCTGCTTAATTCAATTTTAATTAAATAATTTTTAATTACATTGTTTGTAATTAGTTGTCAATTAAAGACGGAAATTAATTTTAAAAGTAATTAATTACTCGCAACCCTGATTGTAACTATACCGGTATATCGATTTTCGTGTGATAATTGGCAACTGTAAGACATGAGTTTGGTTTCATTTTAAAGCTTGATCTTTGTAATTGGTATGCATGCTCTGTGAAGTTCAATTGTTTCGTTGTTGTGTAGCTATAGGAACAGTAAACATGGACGGCAAAAGAGTAAAAATTCGTGCTTTTATTCTTTACGAATTTAAACTTGGCAGTAAAGCAGCAAATGCAGCAAGACGCATTTGTAGCGTTTGTGGGAAAGGTGCTGTTAGTGAAAGAACCGCACAGAAATGGTTTAAAAGGTTCAAGGAAGGAAATGAATCGGTAGATGACGAACCGCGTTCAGGGCGTCCATCTGTCATCGAAGACGAAAAATTCATCGAGTACGTAAGTTCAAATCCAAGAAAAAGATGTCCCGAGCTTGCTCAAATATTCGAATGTGAAGAATCTACCGCAAGAAAGCGAATTCATTCACTTAATTTTCACAAAAGATTGAGCAAATGGATACCGCACCGTTTAACGGATGAGAACAAATACTCCCGCCTGAGAATTTGCAATATCAATTTATCGATCGAATTGTAACTTGTGATGAAAAGTGGGTGGAATATGACAATGTGCGACGATCACACCATTGCCTTCAGAAGGGGTCATATGCAACAGGAACCATACCAAAATCGAGTCTCCATTCGAAGAAAGTGCTGATCACTGTTTGGTGGACTACACGAGGTTATCGTTCACGTTGATTTTCTTCCACGTGGCAGACTATTACTGCAGATACTTAGTGCAAAGAAATTGATGAAGTCATTGATGAAATTGACGATAAATGGTGATTATTTCGTTGAATAAACCTACGATTTAAAACAGATTTGAGTATTTGTATTTTTCTATGAAAATCCGCACGAACTTTTTCCGGTACCTAATATAATACATATATAATCTAAGAATAACATAATTCGTGAAAAGTGAAAAGAATGTTCTCTGCCAATCAGAAGCGATCACGAAGAATCACGAATCACTGTGAAAAATCATCGTGATTGAGAATGAACGTGATTGAATCGCGAGTGATTCAAAAGTAGCAGTTCACGCCATCTTTAGTCGTTATAGGCTACGGCCAACGACAAAGGACGACAGCGGACATGTCAAGACAGAGTCGAACAGAATGACGACTTTTCAGCATCGACGCGCGGCGTAGCCTCCTAATCAAAGTGCAGACTATTAACCCTTTGCACTCGAGGCCTTTTTTTCTGGTATCTACCAGCAACTCGAGATGTTTCTTAGCATTCTATTCCCATAAATTCTATGCTATCTAGATTTGATAGTAAGGTCACCTTTACCTCACCGACGATCGTTTTATCGACACTTCGAGCTCCAAAGAAATTAAACCTAAACCTAAAGAAACATTAGTTATCGTAGATTTGCTGCGTGAAACCTCTCGAGTGCAAAGGGTTAACCGTCCAGGTAAAGGTATACCTCGGTACTCGCGTAATCGCAGCCAATGTGCAGGGCCACCAGCTGCGTTATAAACGCGACTAGCCAGAACCACATGTTGCATATCATTCGCCAGGGTATCTTCGACCAAGGCGACAAGATAACCCAATCGATGATAAAATACAAGTTGCTCACGCTGTGTACGCTCAAATTTCCCAGCCAAAAGAACAAGGACCACGAGTAGATACTGTTCAGCAACTCGGCGGTCAACATTAATTCGTTGTGCAGATCCTGGATAGTCTTTCATGGAAAAAAGAAACAAAAACATCGAGGCACGTCTATCGTTACTTTCACCCAGCCCTGGCCAACACGCGACCCGCCACGTTAAATTGTGCGGCCCGCCGGGTGATTTCGAATTTCTATTGAAACTTTTGTTTCTCGTTGTATATGTGCAAAAAATATTGAATAAATAAAAATTTGCATGTGTCATTGCTATAATGCGCAAATGCGATTACGAACTCCAGTTCAATGTATATCTGATATCTACGAACGCCAAATGTTACTGAATGAATCGGTTTCAATTGGTAACCATCAGTAACGTTCATTTGTAATTTGAATACAGTTACTCGTATGCAATAAATGAATAAAGAAGCACACATTTTTGCTTTTAGTGATAGAGGAGAGTGGAACAACGACGTCGAGCGGTATTTTGTATATGTATTATATTTTTTAACATAATGCCAATGTTATTGTTTAACTTATATGTTTACCTAAAGTGCGGCCCGCTGTATCTTTACGCGTCATCGAAGTGGCCCGTGAAATTATTCGAGTTGGCCAGGCCTGTTTTAACCCTCTCTCTACGATCTGTACGACAGCGGACCCTACGATCGCGCTTTATCGAGACGAAACGAACCTTTCTACTGATGGTGGTGCTCTTGTAACCAATTTTCGGCGGTAGGTTCTCCCTCGCCATCCGATTCAGCTGATGGAAGCGCTGCCCGACGAAAAACGTCATTCCGGCGAATTTGTACACGGACATCGTAGTGCCCAGATAAATGCACATGTAGCTAACGTTAAATGACCATTTTTCAGAGTACGCGTATATTCCGCTAAGATTAATTATGGTCCAGACGACGGTTTGGATTACCAAAAGAGCCCAAACAGCGATCTTGGTCTTTGTTTCCTTGAGTGGATAACCCAAGCTGGCCAGCCTTTCGTCCAAGTCTTGAAGAGCGTTCCAAATGCGAAGAAAGGAGCGTCTACTGAACACGGTCGACACGAGTTCGTACATTGCCACCAAGTAGTTGACGATCACCTGCGATCACGTACCTCTTTAAATCGGATTTCCGAGAGGGCACGGTTAAAGGTCAATTTGTATTATCCGTTCAGACACGACGCGTTTCCGATCAGTTCGGTTCCGACAAATATTATTTTGTGTTATTAAACACGAGTGTTTATAACTACTGTTTATAACTAATAACGAGTGTTTATATACCGTAATGGATCGGTTCAAACGCGTTCCGTTCCAGACATACAGTGGGTGTAGAATGTATTCGTACACCGATCAATTTCCCAAAAAACTGTTGTGTGAAATTGTAGTTTCTTAACTTCTTTTTTTATAATCAATGATATTTTACAGATTCTTGGAAGTCTCTAAGATAGATATCGTCCAAACAACATTTGCTACTTAATATAATTTATGAAATTAACAAAAAAATGCGAAAAGTTATGCGGCTTCAGATAAATGGTTTGAAGCAAAGATAAAATCATCTATGCGATGTCACTGGAGGACAAAGTAACGATAGAAAACTTCGTCGTTGAGTCTGTAGTATATGTATATATTTTGCATTCTTAATTGTTAATTTTAACTCTTATCATTTTAAATAATGCTTATCATAACGTATTTTGGAAATTTTAATTTTGAAATGTTAAATTTAAATTATAATATTATTTCCTTATAACTTGTTTCAGTGTAAAAAATGGTAACAACGATACCCAGATGACAAAAGTAATATTATTTATTTATAATTATTGGTTACAAAGTAAAGTAGGTTGAATGATCTAGAAATATTATTCTTGTCACGTCACAGGAGGAAATCTTTTCCCGTTATCTTTGCTTCATTTCGATTACGCCCATCAATTTCCCAAAAAACTGTTGTGTGAAATTGTAGTTTCTTAACTTCTTTTTCTATAATCAATGATATTTTACAAATTCTTGGAAGTCTCTAAGATGGATATCGTCCAAACAACATTTGCTAGTTAATATAATTTGTGAAATTAACAAAAAAAAAATGGGAAAAGTGGGTAAAAGTATAGAAGCAATAAATATTTGTACGATTCTTACGACGAACCATTTAGAGTAGAGCTTGTAACGTAAACACATTAGTTTATTGCTCCGTACGGATTAGAAAACGTCAAATTTCCATTAAAAAGACTTAAAAAATGCTCTAATAAAGGAAAGAAAGAAGATCCCCCTCCCGAATAACATCGACATTTATGATAGTTATTTTAATGCCAGAAGAGTTGCAATAATTATAAAATCAAATTTCGTTTTTTTTTTTTAAATGCAGTTTTAAAAATTAAACACTCGCACGAATAGTTATTGCTTTTGTATTTCTATCAATGTATTGTTTTCTCTTGTTGATTTCTCACTTATACAAAATACCTAATCTTTTCGAACTGTATCTATTCTGTATCTATTCTATTCTAGAGATTTCCAAGAATATGTAGAATATCATTGTTTATACAAAAAAGAAGTTAATAAATTACAATTTCACATAGTTTTTTTGGATATTGATCGGTGTACAAATACTTTCTGCACCCACTGTAAATCAACGTTAAGGCGACTCTCGGCGCGAAAAGGTATCGAAAAATTCGTATTGGATTTTTGATTTTCATTATTGCGCGGTAAGCCGATATTACGATTGTTTGGAAACGGTAAACGGGCGTTCTCGTACCTTGACGGTCTCGACTACCGCTACGATCGACTTATCCCGTTTCGTATCGATGAATCTCAGATACACCATGTATATGATGTACGAATAAAGAACGAGGAAGGCGAGAGAAAGTACGAGGCAAATGTTCGATACGGTCATCCGATCGCCTGCGAAATCGTACGGCGCCAAGCCGAACACTTTCATGATGCATACTAAAGGATAAATCGCCGAATATAACGGTGAATCTGGTCCGCGATACTTTTTCCCTCGATTCTTCTTTTCCGCGTTCAATTCCACGAACGTGGTTTCCACGTCGAAAGGTTTCACGCGTGCCTTTATGTTTCGAACGAGATCCTTTCTGGTCAAAGGATTCACAGAAGTGTTTCTTTCCAGGAGCGCCATTCGTTTCGCGGGCTACTTTTCCGCCACCTCGAGCTGCAAGAAAAAAAGTATGCAAACGTTTCATTAGTCTTGGACACGGACGATTAAATCGTTCGATTCGATACGATTCGATCCGATCGCGAAACCTTTCGTTTGCCCAACGACATCAAAGAAATGGATACAGATAAACGAGGTCTTCTAACGAACATGTTAGCGATCGGTCGATATATTGATTTTTCGGAGACAACTGATCTACCGTTGTTTCGGCCAATGACCGGTTCTCGAAAGGTGGAGACAGCTGAGCGGGCCGAGTGGCGGCAAAGCGTCAGTGGCTCCAAAACGAATATCCTACCGATGGTAACGCATGAATGGGGCAAGCAACTTGACGTTGCATTGCTATGATTGGTGATATGCCATATTATATTAAACATTAGAATAAATGTTCTAGAAAGATCTGGTAACGGAACGGGGAAGGCTCTGCCCTCTGGAAAGAGGACTGTGTTGAAACACACGGCACTTACCCTAGAACTTTTGAATAAAACGGACGTATATTTCTTTCACAAATAATTTAAAACGAATATTTCTAACAAACACGATTCGATGCGTTTATCAATACCCGTCGTGTGCACCGTGCGCGATCTAAATTATACAGGAAAGTGTGACGATCCCACGCTCCAGCTGCCCCAAAGACTCCCCAAGAGCCCCGGAAAACATAACTCTCGCTATCTTCGTGGTCCCTAATAGGGCCTCGAAGACTTTCGAACATGTCACCCCCATTCAACTAAGTGATTCCTGACGGGACACCGATATTCCGTACATGTAACGCCAATTAACGCAGCCATGTTAAAACTACGAAAGATCACGTAGTCGTAAGAAAACATATGTATAAATACCGCCTCCTACTCCAGAATGAAGCTGTTCTTGAACGACTTTCAACGTATCCACGTGTGAAGTTCTTTAAACTCCGTCTTCACCTACGTTTTTCTCTTTGAAGAGTGGCGATCCTTTTTTATCGCTAAGTGTCACATTCGGTAATTCAATTTTCCCGTGACAAAAGCGTGGACGCGTTATTGTAGCGAAACTTTCGTACATAGTCCATTCGAAAACATTGCGAGAGGGCTGCTGACTGTGTAAATATTATTTCTGTAAACACGTGTCGCCTCGCCGCGTCGCACCGCGTATACGTATTCGCGATCGAACACGTATGCCAGTTGTCTCTAACGGAAGAGTAGAATATTAATTGGTCTCGTTGTTACAAAAAAAATAGCTATTTATGTAAGTTGCGAAATTAACAAGAAAAAAAGGATTAATCGATAGAAATGTTGAAGCAGTAAGTATTCGCACGACTGTTTAATTTTTAAAACTTCATAAAAAAAAAAAACGAAATTTATATTAATTTACAAGTATACATATAATACTTCCTTCATGTACGAAAAGTTTAGTTGTTTTGTACAAGTGAGTATATAAGTATTATATCACTATAAGTATTATACTATATACTATAATACTATATACTATAAGTAAATAAGTATTCGTACAAGTACGAAATTTTTAAAACTGCATTAAAAAAAAAAACGAAATTTGATTTTATAATTACTGCAACTCTTCTGGCATTAAATTAACTATCATAAATGTCGATGTTATTCGGGGTGAGATCTTCTATCATTTCTTTATTAGAGCATTTTTTAAATCTTATTTACTGGAAATTGATGTTCTCTAATTCGTACGTAGCAATAAACGAATCTGTTTACGTTACAAACTCTACTGTAAATGGTTCGTCATAAGTAGACTGCGGATCTTCATGCAAAATAAAATCTTCGCGAACGTGCCTACAAAACTTGAACCCAAATAGGAATTTATTTTATTCTGCAAATGTTATAACATGAACTTTACTTTCAATCTTTTTTACGGTTCAAAAGCTGAGACTTCGAGGAAGTTTTTCCCGAAAAGTGCCCGCCAAACAACTATGTCTTTGAAACCGAGAAACGGATAGAGAAAAAGTCAGATTTTTTGAAATTTTCCACAATGAAAAGTTTGACCTAATTTTTCACTCGTTAAATCTTCGTAATAAATTTTGCTTTGACGTCAGAGAAATGGGAAATTTAACTCTCTTTCGAACGGTATACTTAGTTTTAAGTTTGCACTGTAATTTGATGGAGTTATGGTCGTTTAAAGAGTGCCAAGTCGAAAACTCAGAAAAAATATTAAAAGTGAAAATTCTCGAGAATAAGGCGACACAAAGAAAATGTCTAAGAGCAATTGTTTGTTGGAAATTTGTTCTAGAATTGACACCCTGCGTATGTCCGAACTTATACGTAGACACCCTGTAGAGAAGAGGTACGTCCTCACCGATTTCAATGATTTTTAAATATGTCTAGAAATCAACATTTTTAACAACTTTTTCCTGTACATATAACCGTCGCTTGATCTTAGTTTCAGAGATATTTGCACTCTTTGTTCAATTAAAAGAATAAATTAGTGTATCATATCTACCGTATATAGGCAAATATTCAGGCAAGTTAATTTTTAATCCTTTGAAAGTAATCCGTTCAGTAACTACGTCAGTGTCAAACTAGATTTTTTCTGAGCCTAAACAATGGCGTAAACAATCGCCGATTGAAGACTCCACGCTGCCGCAGACGCGTAACTATACGCAATATTCATTGTTGATATCTAGTAGCAATGGTATTTTGCAAATATCTCGGAAACTAAGGCCGAGCGACGGTTATATGTATAGGAAGAAAAGTTGTTCAAAATGTTGATTGCTACAGCATATTTAAAAATCATCGAAATAGGTGAGGATGTACCTGTTCTCTATAATTATTAAATACATAATAATGGAGTTTGTTTACGCTAGTTTTCGACTTATTCTTTCACTCTTACGTCTTCTCTATGTAAATTTACCTTTTTCTTACGTAGCGCACCGAAACTACGTAAAAATTAGTAGGCGCTCGATGCATGCACATTTTCGAATTCAAGCATCGGTGTATGGGTGAATTAACAGCGCGAAACGAATCGCGCTCGTTCCAGCCGGCTATCTGTCACCTCTTCCGGTGCATGGAACGTGCGCTATCGATTTCACATACATGTATGTATATATATATAGTATATATTACTTTCGTTGGCAAAAGAGGAAATTTTCGGCACGACCGGATCGCAAACAACCCGGAGAACTCGTATCTCGCTTGCGAATTCGTTACACCGTTTAATTTATTGCTCTACCGGCAGTCATTTATTTGCTAACGTGTTCGGACCACGAAACGTCGCGTCGATCTTTACAAATTTTAGATGAAGGCACTCTACGTTCAATAGAGATGAACTTTTTACCCTAAACGAAACAAGTGCCTACAAAATTATACATGGGTACTCGACGCGAGCTTTAATATAAAGCATTGTGTATACATATTGGAACAGCGAGCAAACGAAGTTGATCGAAATCATTTTTCAGAAAATTTTAGATGAAGGCACTCTACGTTCAATAGAGATGAATTTTTTACCCTAAACGAAACAAGTGCCTACAGAATTATACGTGAGTACTCGACGCGAGCTTTAATATAAAGTATTGTGTATACTTTATTGTGTATATTGGAACAGCGAGCAAACGAAGTTGATCGAAATAATTTTCCAGAAAAACGTTCAATTTAGAGTATCACGTTTAAACGGCAAATCCTATCGAGTTACCTGGTCGATGATGATGTCGAGGTCGAGGTCGAGGTCGAGGTCGAGAAGCAGCTCTTTCTTTCTTTCTCAGGGATTCGACGTAAACGTCGAGGACGAACTGCGGAACGGAATCATTCTCGACGGCGCAGTAAGTGGTCGAATAGTCTCCGAGCAACGGCACAAATAACACCCGGAGATCCAAATGGTTCGCGGTTTTCCATCGGTCGCGATAAAGCGGAATTAAAGCTGCAAGAGTAAACAATCGTGCCGCTAGCACGGGCACACATTTGCCATCAGTCGCGCCAGGATTCTTCCTGCCGTCGGCGTTGCACTTCGCGGTCGTGTCATTTGGATGTCACTCCAGTGAGCGAGCGAGCGAACGATCAATTATTAAGCCGATAAAGTGGACATATCTGTGCTGGTATCTGGGACGAGACGCTAATCGAGCATTTTCCAATGAATTATTCCAATAAAATATTACCCATCTCTGACTGCGATTAAATCTAAAGGATACGTAATCAAAGGGTGCCGAGATAGGTGCGCGATATAATCTCTGGAATGTAGCAGGATTTACTAGAATACGATTCGGAAGCGATCGGCAAACGATGAATTTCATTCAGCTGACCGTGCGATACATACGAGAGTGTCGTTCGAATCGCGTTGAAATCGAACCTCTGCGAGTCCACTCGACAATCACCGACACGAACACGAGATAAGAGTCCGTTTCGTATGCAAGAATCGTAAACAATCGTCGGCACGCTAACGACCGCCGTATGTTTACGTTCCTAGTCATTTCTCTAATCGATGTTAAAGCATTTGACAACGGGAAGCGGTTCTGTTTACCTTATCGCTACCATTTATTGTCTTCCTTTCGAAGACGAAACATTTACTTCCATGTATGTGTTCCTGTTCCGTTCTCTTCCGGAAAGTTCAACAACATTCATTCATTTATTTCAAGTGCGTAACTTATTATACAAAGTTATTGCACGACTGCATACTTATTATTAGGTTGTCCGAAAAGTTTCTTTCGCTTTATTAATAAGTAATACATGCACGATAGTTTATGTTTTATGTTACATTACTGAATTGTGCACGATTCACTTTGCTCCATTATTGTTACAACATGAATATCTATGAAATTAGATTGTTTATTTATATAAACACGACCACATCAAATAATTGAGTGCAACTCGCGAAAGAAACTTTCAGGACAACCTAATGCTAGCTTATTTCCATTCTTCTTATCATCGTCTTACATAAACGCCTGCATTGTTTTAATACTGTTTGCAGTGTCGGTGCGTTGTCAATACGCTCTAGCCACGTAGCAATGCTAGACTGCCGAAATATGGCTCCCCTGGAATTTGAGTAATGGATAAGTTTTGTTTCCGCAGAGCTAATATTACACTAATGTCACTTTCACTAAGCTTCTTGTCACGACCCATTACGAGGATAGCGATATAACAAAGCTCTAGAAATTGAACGTAATAACTCCATGCAAATTCACGGAACACTAAAGAATATGTAAACCTAGTTCAAGTGTGCTATCATTTTGTCTGCGTCGGATTATGTATTTCTCTTCGAACTAAGGGAACTCATTGAAGTAAAGTCAATCTATGTTATGTTTACATATTCGTAGAAGGTACGTTTTACATATAACTCAGAGTTTTCACGCAAGCATAATCTTAACACGAGATATTAAAGATAGCACAGATGTGCTATCTTTTTGTCTGGGAGTGTATAACAGTTTCGTATGGACGATCACGTTCGTGCAAAGACTGT